CCACGTGATTTTCTGGAAACACCTGCATGCACGGACAAATGTCCACGTCATTCTGCAGACACGTGGCCACGTCATTCTGCAGACCCATGTCGACGTCATTCTGCACACACATGTCCATGCCTGTCAGATTGTATTGCGATGTCTGGCCTGAAGATTGGCGTTTTCCTTTTTTGTTAACTGCAACCACTTCGATATACGTTTTCGGAGCTGGAAACACCGCGGCTGCTAGCATCGAACTCGCCCTCCAATTTTCCATCAAATCAAAGTACACTTCTCCTTTCTCCTAGCTATGGTCTACGCTGAAAACCAATGACGCCCTCTCTCATGGCTATGTCATAGACTGAAAAGAAAGCGCATCATTGCTCTTCGGCGTACCCCATAGCCAGGCGAAGCGACGTCACCGTACACGTCAGCATACACGTCATCACATTGAGAAGGGCATCATCCTTCACGTCAGCATAACTATCTTTATTTATCTCCTTGTTCTCTTCCACAGCGGAAAAGCGAAAACCTCAACCATCCACATACTGGCCGGGGCGAAATTCAATCAGGAGGGAGAAAGTGTTGAAATCTAATTACAGTAATTTATTTATTTCGGCGCACCAGCAAGCAGCACCTTCAACTTGGAACAATTTAAGAAAAAAAAAAAACTTCGAACAATTAGGTCATATATGGTATTCGCTTGCGTTGAAAGCAAATTTAATTTACGTATTTCGCCGCAGCAGCAAGCAGCAAGCAGCACCTTCAAGTTGGAGCAATTAGGTCATATATGGTTATCTCCAGTTATGCTGTGAGTTTAGGGTTTCAGCTAATGAACCATGCACACTGCACTGAGTGATCGCGTCTGCAAGAAAAGCCAAAGCCAGCCACCAATCATCATAAGGCAGCGCTCTTCCCGCCGCGTCATGATAAGGCTGCGCGCCACGACCGCGCCGGGGTTATGCCACGTCAGCCGAAGCACTGCTCCCCTGGCAGGGGGGGCGGAATGAAGCCGTAATCGAGAAGCTGAAGCGCAAACACTACGGCACCCGCAAGGAGGGTGAGGTACGACAGCGTCGCGATCACATTGACAAGGCCGTTCTCCGTCGGGGTCCCTTTAAGCTTGCCGAGGAGCGACCACCCCGCGATCCCGACCACGACCAGATAGCTGATGCCTTCCAGCGCACCAAGCGACCCCCCTGGTCCGGGCGGCAGCCCACATCCAGTCGCCTTCAGCGTGAATAATGACCATGCCACAACAGGGAGTGAGATTAGCCCCCCAGCAATCACCGCGTAGTCTACCGTAGACGTCCTCGCAGATCTGTCACGGTTGCTGCCGCTGATCTCTTCTCCTTTACCATCGGAAGAAGTGTCGGCCTTCTTCGCCTTCACCGGGGCTACGGCGGACCAGCGGAGGGCGCTCCCGCTCCGTTTCCTGCAGCCATCGCCATGAGCTCGAAGAAGAAGAAGAGGAGCTGTCAACTGCTCATGATCACTACGGGTAAGTGATGACGCCACGTGGCGCGTATTCTGCCATAGCATCATTTCCTTGACTGTCGTCACCGTGCGGAGGCCCGAAGCGTCGGCTGCGATGGGGACCACCCCTCTGCGGCCGCCGTAGAGGCATCTCATCCCCCTCATCTTGACCGTAGAATAAGGTAGAGGCGACGGCCCTCCCGGTGCTACCACCTTCACCTGGCCGCCATGGCAGCTCAGAGCTCTGGAGGATATCGAGCTGACAACAACGGCCATTGTGTGTGCACGTACCTGTGCACCCTACGGTACGGTCGCCTTCACTGCTGGCTGTGGACCCCAGCTGACCCCTGCGGCTCTGGCAGTATGCCAGCCCGCGGCCCAAGCGTCCACCTCTCGTGGGCCGCCCAATCCTGATGAGGCAATCACTAATGTACAGTCTGAGGGCATACTCACAATCAGCAACAAGAGGGAGGCAAACGCGAAGTCTCAAGAGTAGCCGAAGAAGTGGGGGGCTCGGGGCAGGGATGGAGCCCAAAAACAGAAAACAGAAAAAGAAGAAATAAAAAAGTAAAGAAACGAGGAACTTCGAATCCACCTACGTCTGGAAGGCCCTCACCTCACCAGTGCTTTGAGGAATGTATCTGGCCAGAAAGTGAGGAACATGAACCAGGTCGTTTTCCTTTTTTGTTTCTTGTGTGAGGTCCTTGTAGCGCCCTGACAGCCAGGCAGGGCGGATTCCACGCGAGGCATCTGACTGCCTGGCTTCATTCAGTTCCAGACAAACACTGTCGCATCCTGTATAAGACCGCAATCACAGCATAAGGGATGTTGTTTTTTTTCTTTTTTTTAATCTGCTGTTCGTGGATAGAGGAGGGCCCTGACTAAACTGCTAAATAGCAGTTTCAAATGCAATTACAAACTGCTTTCGTGACTGCGCCCTAGTTACCCCTTTTTTCAATATGCCGGAAAACTGGTCCGGCGTCCATCACATATATGCCGCTGCCATACAAGGCTGATACAAGGCTGCGAAAAGCACTTCCTACCGATCCCATCCCTGACCACCGCAGCAATTTAATCAAAAAGGTGCTCAAACCCTAACAATTCTCTGCAGAAAACAGTAAAGAACCTCAAATCATGCAACCCTAGTTCATCTCTAATATACAACCCTAACTAAATCCTGCGAAAACACAAACAAGATTCCAACTATGGGTCTCGCCGCACCGCACACGAAACGAAAACGAATCGAGTGCATCTGCCCAACAAAGGTGGCAAAATACACTCGTTACCATTTATAGCAAACCGATGAACCTGGCCATTTTCTGTGGGAAGATTCATTCGTTTCGTTTTTCGTTTCGTGTGCCGTGCAGCAACGCCCTATCTCAACTACTAACTGGTAAACAAAAAGTGAGCAACAGCAGATACTCCCCAGGCACTAAAGTTAACGGATCTGGGCATGAGTGGAGGAAGCCAGGCCTTAATTCAAAGTTTTATAAGAAAAATAGTGAATCTCAACCAAAGAGCTAAAATCATGATACATTTATTCAAACCAAACGAAAATTAGCGAATTCACGGATCCAGCAAGAAAGGAACCATTCACAACTGCAAAGTTGCTAACTGCTAATAAACCAAGGAAGGGAGAACACGTTAGCCTAATTAAACCAAACACGGCTCGTCAATGAAAAAGGAGCATAAAGAACATAGCCAGACACGTCTAACCCCAGAGAGTTCCATATACTAGTTAAATCAGGCAACAAAGCACAGGAAACCAAGCAGCAATCAACGACAGGACTAACCCATCCCCTAATTTCATAGCGCAAACCTAATCCTAATTGAGCACTTCCATTCAAAACCAGCGGAGCTTCAGGTGGAGAATAGCACAAGAAGTCACACTTCAAGTTGTAAAGCACCCCTGGCTGAAAAGGACAAAGGAGGTACTGATCCCAAGAGTCTTCCAAAGCGTGTATCATATACGCAATGGAAGATAAGGTTCTTAACATCCCATGCCAAGCTGCAGAGCCAGTATCTGTAGACTCATTTGCCCAGGCCTCTCCATACGTTTATCCTCCAGGCATCTCCATAAGTATGGCATCTCCATAAGTTGGTCCTCCGGCAGAATGATCCCATCAACATCGTCATCTACAAAGCTCCGTATCTGAAACCAGGGGGATCGACACCCCTGATTAGTTTTCGTATTCTGAAATATGCGGCGACCGGATCTCGACCGTCAATCGCCCCCACATCATCTCCATCCCTCCACGGTTGAACAGGATTCCTAGCTTTCGCCAACCGAGACCGGCCATAGCCAGAGGCTAAGTATTCGCGTTTCTTTCTTTTTCTTTTCTTTTCTTTTCTTTTTTCTTTTCTTTTTTCTTTTTTTTTTCGGTCGCCTGCCGCGCCGCGCCGGGCCTCTCCGCAGCTAGAAGGGGAAAAAAAAAAA